AAAGTCCTGGGACTGGATTAGATGTGAAGTTACCAAAGAGAAAAGCTGAAGGCAAATGTATAAAAAGATAACTTTTGGAGCACAGTGGCCACTTCCAACTACTCTTTGAGAGCCAGAAGGGGAATGAATGTGTGGCGGAAAGTTTAGGCTAAACTTTGGGTGAATGTTTCTTGTGAGGTTATAAAAGCTGGATAACAGCTAACAATGAAATAAAGATCAGTTAATCCTACAATGACCATGGCCTGACCTACGGAAAGTAAAAATATGCCCAACGGAAGACATTCGATTGTTCATTCATGGATTTGACACCATTTATTAAATAATTTCTCTGTGGTAGAGAAGTGGAATCAATGGCAAAAGAATGGTTTGAAGCTTTAGGATTCCATATACTGAAAAAAAAAAATCTAAAAATATCCTGTATATATATTTTTTTAAGAAACAGAATAATAGGTTCCCTTTTTTTGGATGACCAGATGACCAGAATTTAAACCTTATACCATTTTCTCTTCCTATCTTGTACCATATCGCTTTATGTAAGGGTACATCAAGGACAAAAGGCAAAGAACAGAGTTACTGAAAATCATATAAAAATGTCTATACTTTCTTATGAATAAATTTTTAAAAATGTTCTACTGTTAAGCAACAGAGCTTCATTTCAATTCCACCTGGTTGTTTGGTTGAGCAAAGTCCTCATTAGGGCCATGGGCCCCCACCAACAGGGACCCTTAGGAGGCTCTCCCTGCCTCCTCCAATTGGATCCCTCCTCCCATTGGATCCCTCTACTTGGCTGACAGCTTCCCACCCACACAGCCCCACTGTCCCTGTGCTGTCTCCAGCCTAGAACTGACCCCAGTGTCCTTCGTTATTCCCCACAGTCCATCAGTCTGAAGTAATGGGATCAGAAAACACCCGATTGGCAAGATTTCTATACGTCAAACCACTAAGTTGAAGACAAGTTCCTTTACAATCATTGACTGTAAAACTGTTACTCATTCAAAGTCTTCTCATTTCTCTTCCTTTTTTTTTAATTTTTTTTATTTTTCCTTCTGTTTAGTTCTTTGGTTGAGACAGAAACCCCTGGAGATAGAACACCTGACCGTGATGCCTACCTGATGCTTCCCTTTACTCTAAGAAAGAGTTGTGCTTTTGGTGTTTGTCAAGTTCTTCTTTCCCCTCCATCCACCTCCGTCTTCTGGGCTGACTCACCTCCCCTCCCACCCACCACATGCTCATTTTCCCCCTTTACTTGGTCTGGCAGCAATGTATTCAGTTCCAGAGGTTGATTAAAACAGAGTAAACTATTATCAACTACCAGAGGCCTGGAAGATGGCTGAGCCTCCCAGAGCAGCCTGTTTTAGCAAAAGGAAACCCACAGGCTGCCACAATGTGATTGGAGAAGCCCTGGGAGAGGTCTCTGGCATCCTCACCTGCTGTCACAACTGAAATCTCAAAATTGGTGGCTCCTTTTATGTAGTAACCAAGAGTATCCTTGGATTCAGCAGGAATCCCACCCTGCCCCCTTAGGCACGTGATCTGAACTGAGGTTACCATATCAGAGCCTCAGTTTCCTTTTCTGGGCAAAAAAGATGATAAAACCCACCTCAAGCGTTGTGGGGATGACACTATGAAATAGAGCACATAAAATGCCAAGAACACTTCAGTGCATGATAGGTAACATTTTTAAGCGACAATATTACCCAGAAGTTGTAATACATCAAAATGCTATCAGCTAGATGTTCCACCAGCCCAAATCAGTTTTCTGATCAATTTTACCAAAAGCAGAAACTTGAGGGAACTGTACAATATAAATATATTTGAAGTTTCTTAGGAGCATTTTGAAACACCAGCGATACTAATAGGGGCACTCTCTTCCGAAACAAAAATTTGAGATATGTGGAAAGCCAGCTTGACCACATGGAAGCTAAGAATGTGGTTGGAAGAATGTTAAAAAGAAGATAGAAAAACAAAAACATAACTATTTCACAATCCTGTGTGCTTTTATCCTTTTCTCTTCTGCATTAAATAATAGACTTGAATAGATAAGTGATGAATGCATTTCCACAAGGCTCTGGCAGGGTTCATATTGGAAAGGATATTCTGTGTCCACAATCTTGGTATAGACAAAGGGATCTCATTACTATTTCAAATACAAGAAGCTTCTTGATCTGGATTTAGTCTTCTTTCCTGTCTTCCTCTCTTATAAATCCCCCACATGAAAACGGGGCAAAAATCACACCAAAATATTTGTGTGTAGGAGAAGTAGTGATTTTTATATTATTTCACATTTCCCTGTCTGAGCATATGAAGGTTCTACCTACCCATACTATACTAACTTTAGCTAACTTCTTTCGGTCCTTCAAAACCTAATTGCCACTTGTCCCAGCCCATATCCACCACAGGTCTGGGCGCATCTATACTTATCTCTATTACCAAATTCATCACAAAAATCCGTATATTGCTAACTAACTATTTTTTCCCTCTCACTGTTCCGTGAGTTCCTTAAGGGCAGAGACTACAATGCCTTTGGCTTTCTCTGCAAAGCAGACTGCTTGACTGGCATAGACTAGGCACTCAATAAACAGGTGATACATGAGTAAATGTCAAATGGAATAGTACATGCAGTTGCTTCTATAACAGGGTATTTTCCAGACTCAATATATTAGAGTGTGTGACTGTCCGAAGACAAAGGAATGAAATCCAGAAGAGTTAAATCAGAATCTCAGCCTCTGCTCCTTCATAAGAATGACAGAAGGAACTCCCTGATCTCACCTGGATTTTTCCCTGAGACACTCAATGTGTTATTCTAGTCTTGGTGAAGTAGGCATCTTTACAAAAGAAAGGTCTGGTCAGTTCTCTTGATCTTTGCTATGTGGGTTGTTGAACAAAATTTATATCTAAAATAAAATGCTGCTGCCTCTAATAAAGGTTGTTTGCCACAGAAAGTGGCAGATAATGGGGCTTTTTCCCTGGTTTTAAAGGAACTGGAAAAGGATATGAAAAATGCAATAACTTCTATGTTGATAGAGGTATGATGACACCAGAGTTGACAGAAAGGACATTTTGAAGTGTTCCTCTGGGTACAGCCTAGATGATGAAGTTGAGTCAACACTTTATAAAGGGTTCAAAGCTTAGTGAACTAGTGAGCAGGTCAAATGAGGAAGAGGGTGTAATCTGAGTAAAAGAGAGTCAGTGGAAAATCCTAGAGAAGAGAGTGTGGAAACATATCAACATGGTGGCCTATTTTCAAGTAATATGATATCATTCTCTCCCACTGCCCCTCATTGCTTAATAAATTAAGCCCAGCCCTGGTCAGTTGTTCCCTAGGAAGGAAAGGCACTGAGGCAGTGTCCTGTATGCAAAGGGCCACACCACAGGAAATAAAACAGTGAGCAAAGATCAAAGAGTTCAGCCACTAGGGAGTGAATTGAAGGTAATTAGGAGAAACACTTCACCTTCTCTTTATATTCCACTGCCCCATATCAACTTCTCTGATTATACATGATGAAAGAAAGGTGTTTCCATTTAGGTGTATACATCTATAATTTCTGATGTCAAGCATAGAGAAGGGGAATTAATGAATCATGCAAAAGTGAGTGATTCTAAGCTGCTGATTGCAGATCATTTTAACTATGTTTTCCTGGCAACAAAACCATTTAACTTTTCCACAAAAATCTCTCAAGCTTTGGAGGAGCCATTTTGTGGTCATCCCTCATCCTCAGAGGTCTTCTAAATTCATTTATTCAGTTAACTACCACTGAGTTTCTACTGCACAAGGGATAGATCCTGAGGGATATAATATTAAAAGACATAGTCTCCATCCAAAATATGAGTTATAATTGATTGCAGGTCTTCATGACATTATGATAGAAGGCACCGCAGGGTAAAGTGGGGGCCCAAAGAATGGAGAGGTCCATCCTACCTCCAGTCAACTTTGTTTGATTTTACCCATGTGAAGATTTTGAGGTAACTTGCCTGAGGGCCCAGGCAGCCCTACAGCGTTCTGAAAGGGTGGCCCATCTAGAAGAACCTGGGGGAGGTGTTTGGTCCTTTCCTCATTGAATTTAGATTTTGACTCTACCTGAAGTTTTATTCAAAACAGTCTCTGCTGTTATCAATTTAAACACCAGAGAAAAAGTACTTAAAAATTTTTAAGTGGGTTGAAAGCAGTTGGACTTAGGAATTCTTAATTGAGCAGAATTTCATGAAACAAGCAAAATTACAAAGCCAAAACTAAAGAATGCCTGAAATTTAGTGACAACAAAATGGTCTTGGAAATGTTCTGTATTTTCATAATACAGTGAAAAACAGGTAGTTCACTTGAAGGACAAGGGGTCTTAACCTTACAAAAGCAATAAGGTAGAGGAGAGGAAGAGAGACCCTGGCCCCAGCCATAACTGAGTTCAAATTCTGGATCCGTCACTTAATACATGTGGGTCAGTGACCTTACTCAACTTCTCTGTAAACCACATTCCTCAACCTTAAGATGCAAAAGTGAGACAATTATAAGGAATTAGTATGGGTTTTTTTGTGAACATTAAGTAGATGTTCAATAAATATAAATTTCCTTTGTTATCATTGTATTGGCCAGGAGAGGGTGGGCCGGTGACTGAAACATCAGTGGGAAAATGGGAGAATGAAGACACAGTTTGTATGATTACACATCTCTGCCTCCCCCACTCTCTCCCAGAAGCTATATTCCACACATTATAGAAACACTGACTACATGACAAAGCTTAATGTTACATTTCATTCTGTTGTGAAAAAAACAAACGTTCAGAATAGAAGGTGGTGATGAGGTGACGTGTTTTATGTTACAAACCTCAGTGATAGCCCTAAAAGTACTAGAGCTGGCAATTTTCCAAGTTACAAACAATCACAATCATTAGGGGGACCTAGTTTATATTGAATTTCTCAACCATGTCTTTTTCTCTTGGGGGAAATTTTATGCATCAATTAATGTGTTTCCTCCACAACTGCAGAAAGATCATGATCCCCATTACCATTCATCCTTGTCAGCATCGCAATTGCAGAAGTGTCGAATGTCCAGGCAACTCTCATCCAGGCCACATTCACACTGCTGGACCCCAGGAGGGGCACCTCCCCAGTAAGGGTGCCTTTCATTAGACCGCCCAATCCACCAGGTAAATGGTGTTCCATCTGAAAGACAAGATAGTTTGCAGAGAGTGTTAGAAGCTGAGACGAAAGTGTCTTGAAGAATATACATATATATATAGATAGATATACGTATATACTTACATATACGTAATATGTATCTATACATATATACATACACATAGTATATATATTCTGTCTCTCACTTCCTTTCTTCTCTTCTTTCCTTTTCTCTCCCTTTGTTTCTTTTCTTTTCTTTTTTCTTTTTCTTTTTTCCTTTTCTTTCTTTCTTTCTTTCTTTCTTTCTT